CATCTAGAATAGACCCCATGGACTTGTAAAAGACATCAAATATTTTTTTATAATCAGATTTTAAAGGGAAAAACGGTAGAGGGAAAGTGTGCAAAACCAAATCTTCTATGAAGTTGGGTACATGTTTAAGGCCTAGAGAAATCAATGGAGCTAACTGAAAGAACACCCATTTGTTTAGAAAGGTGGGCCCATCAGAGCCCAGACTTGTTTCAGAAGGACTTTTCTCACAAAACAAACGAAAGAGGAAGTCAAATGCCATGTCATCACTGAGGGTATTGAAGTATGCTTCTCCTTTATCTGACAATTCATGTTCAAGATGGGTAAATAGCTCAGACATTGAGCTAAGAAACAAGGGTATGAATCTGTTGTGCAGGTTTGCTAATGTGGACAAGAAAAGTCCTTTTAGTGTGGCATGTTTGGGCTCAGAAGTGTCAAGAAAAGGACACAAACGGTAACCGCCAGTGAAATCAGTGGAAGGCATGAATGTGCCATCAAAATAGTTCGTCTTATCGACTTTAGAATTGTCGAAAAGAATGGGGAAACTAACAGCGTCCACAAGGACAATGGCTTTAGATTTAGGAGCGTTGAAAGGACCAGGAGGCACGTTGGCTCTGTAGACAGTGGATTTGTAACTTTGCATGCGAGACCTGAAGAAGCCATCAGTGCCTTGATTGTAATGGAAGTCGAATCGATCCTTAATTGCCCCCAAAAAAGGCAACCCATAATCACCTGGGATATCTCGTAAAGGAAGCTTTGACTCACTGGAAGACATTCTTAATTCTTATGCTATATTTGAATATATCGTGCATTAATAGATCTTATGTTCCCTTAAGTTATTTATAGAGAGTCCTTCCATTGTTTTTCAAGAAGTCAAGTTCTACTTTGTATTACGTGCTGCAGTTAAAGATTATGCTAAACCGTGTGGACAAAATCGAATTTGACATTTGAGACACTAATTAAATACTAATCAGGTTGCGTGAGAACAACTATTAGTTTGGCAATTGAGATACTAAACAGTTGAGGTAGTTTCTTGGATAATCACTCAATTTATGAAAATAACAAACCAAAGTCACTTTTTTTT